TTTTTTTCCTGCAAATGCTCATCCGTGAAATTAAGGCAGAGAAAAATAAAGAGGCACACATATTCAACTTAAGTCTGCAAATTAGTGGAAAAAATGCTTTGCAAAGTTTAGCCTGGGAATCTTTAGTTTGGCCAAACAGACAGTTGAAAGGCATCTAGCTGGCATCATGGGAAATTGATCGTGGCAGTGTTAAAATTCAAACCTCTATAATAAAATAGAAGAACATATTTGAACAATAATGAGACCTTATTAGTGTAAAAAAAACCCGAAGACTCGCGTGGTATTTTTGAACAAATTGGTTACAGCTTTGGTTTTTGTGATGCTGTGATGACCCGGGGCGTGGCACAAAAGCAACACAGTCAGATAAGCAATAACAGTCCCTTTATTATCTCCAACTTTGCCCCCAATATCTAGGTTACCTTCTGGCTGGAGAAAAACTGTCCCAGGAACAGCCTTTGATTGCAGAGAATTAAGTCCAAAACATGAGCAACACAAACTGTAATTTAAAGTCCAAACAAGCCAAACTGAAGTAATTAGTTTGGCAGGACAGGAGCAAGAATTTCAGACTTGAAGGCAAAACTCATACAGTTGGGAAGATGCCCAGAACACAGATAAGCCATGACAACACAGGATAAAGTCACGTTTGCTCCCAGCAGCCTGCCGCATGCAGCCTGCCTTTCTTATCAACTGTCTTCCCAGCTGGGGCTAATGAAGGGAATCAGGGCCCTTTCCTCCCCCGTAAGCCATGCAAACCATGTTGCTCCCTTCTCCATTCCTCCCTGCGTGCCCTAGGATGAAGAGGGGGTGAGCCTGGGTCTTCCTCTGAACTCCCTCTCCCTTGTTCTACCTCTTCCCTGCTCTGCCCAGCCCGACTTTGCCCTTCCCCAGCTTCCTCCACAGTCAAGGGAGCCATACTCCCATTCCCTGTCAGCTGTTCGGCTTCCTCCTCGGATTCAGACTCTGACAGGGGCATGACAGATGCTGACAAGTCTACATCTGTGGTTTTTTTTTTAAAAAAAGCTTTATAAATGTATTTTCTATTACTGATTACAGTGAAACTTCAAAATAGATGAAAATGATGCAGCCGTGGTAATTCAGTAAAGGGTACACAATGATGGCTAGAATGAGTTAATTATTCTGTCTTTATAACCAGTAGGAAAGAAGAGTGAAAATAGAAAGGAACAACAATAATTATACACATCATAGCTTCCCCTGTATGTATGTCTGGGTGTGGTTTCCATAAAGTGTGACTATTTCATTGTAATTATCTTTATGTAATCTACATCTGTACAGCAGTCCTGGACTTTCGATCACAATTGGATCTCAAATTTCTGTTGCTAAATTTTTCTGTGAGTTTTTTCCCCATTTTGTAATTTTTTTTTGCCACTGTTCTAACCAAGGTTTATGGAGACACTAACAAACACAGGGTTAGTCCAAAAACCCTTTTTTCCCTCTATTTCAATGGCTGTGAAGTTTAGTCATTCACAGCCCGTAATGAGTCTGAAACAGTTTGTAAATAGTCCCATGGAAGTCTGCCTTTCCTTCAGGATAAGTCTGATAAGCACACACCTTTATTTTCCTTGAAATGCTGCCAACGAGTAAATGTCCAATTAGTTATACGAGGCAAAACGGAACACAAATTCAACACCAAGCTTCAGGTTTCAAACTGACCAGTACAAAGTTGCTTCCTGCAAAGAGTCCTGTCCTTTTGCTCCTCCTCTATGTCTTATGGTAGGGCCAATCACCTCCAAGCCTTATTCCCAAGACGCCTCTTTTGTGTTAACTGTTCTTGCCTTCTGGCAGCTCTGCGCATATGCGCACTGGGAACAGGCTCCCCTTGTTCTTCTGCCTTGCTGCTGTCAGATTCTGGAGGCTCCAGAGTCAGCACATAACTCCCAGATGGCCCTGGCCCCATCTCTGCATTGGACGCAGGACCCTCGTCTGAGTCCTCCCCAGACTCCCGGACTGGCCCATGTTCCTCCCCACTGTCCGATTCTGCTGTCGTCTCTGCAGGCTGCCGGTGGACCACAACATCCATATTTTAAAAAAATAAAAATAAATGTTGAGCTCAATTGGGGTTGTAAATCAAGGACCACCTGTATTGCTTTGGAATGCAGTTACTCAAATTAGCTCAATCCATACTACAGATTGCTGGCCCTTCTCCTCCCTTTGCTGCTGTGATGACCCGGGGCATGGCACAAAGGCAACACAGTCAAATAAGCAATAAGAGTCACTTTATTATCTCAAACTTTGCCCCCAATGTCTCATTTGGCTGGAGGAAAACTCCTAGGAACAGCCTTTAACTAGAAAATTCAGTCTAAAACAAGGTACACACAAACTGTTACTAAAAATCCAAACACACCAAGCTGAAGTAATTAACTTGACAGGGCAGGAGAAGGAATTTCAGACTTAAAAGCACAGCAAAACTCACACAGTTGGGAAGATGCCAGGAACACGGATAAGCCACGGCGAGACCAGATTAATTCACATTTGTTCCCAACAACTTGCTGTGCGCAGCTTTCTCTTTTATACACTGTGTTCCCAGGTGCAGCTAATGAAGGGAATCAGGACCCTTTCCTCCCCCGTAAGCTGTGCAACTCACGTTGCTTCCTTCTCCGTTTCTCCCTGCATGCCCTAGGATGAAGAGCGGATAGGCCTGAGTCTTCCTCTGAATTCCCTCTCCCCTGCTCTGCCCAGACGGACTTTGTCCTTCCCCAGTTTCTTCCACAGCCAATGGAGCCACACTCCCATTCCCTGTCAGCTGTTTGGCTTCTCCCGCTGAGTCAGATTCCGACAGGGACATGACAGCTACCTTCCAAAATGACATTTACCCCTGTGTCTCCTTTCTCCAGGTGGAAATCAGCCTTCAGAGCAGCTTGCAGCCTGGTATGAAACTCGAGGTGGCCAACAAGCACAATGCGGACACCTATTGGGTGGCCACTACCATCACCACGTGCGGCCAGCTGCTGCTGTTGCGTTACTGCGGTTACGAAGATGATCGCCATGCTGACTTCTGGTGCGATGTGATGACCGCCGACCTCCACCCTGTGGGCTGGTGCACGCAGAACGGGAAAGCGTTGATGCCCCCAGACAGTGAGTCTGAAGCTGCATTGCGGGTCTCAAGTTGTGTGATGCACCTTCTGAATGGGGGCGGGCCCCTCCCTTTGAAGCAGTTGCAGAAATGTTTGGTGGAGCTGGTTGTGTTTAGAAGGCTTGGTTGGACAAGAGGGTGTAGCTCTCTGAAGGTCTGTGGACATTCTCAGCCATCCAGGTCATGGTTGTCCCAAAGGTGCTTTTTTTGCACGGGCGGGCTGCAAATTTTTTAACAACCGGTTCTCTGGCTGGGCAGGCGTGGCCGGCTGGTCATGTGACTGGTTGGATGACGTCACTCATCACACCCAGCCCCGCGTCCCGGCCACTCGCCTCAAAGGAAGAGGTAGTTGGGGCTAATCCCACCATTGGCTGGCCACGCCCCCACCCGTTTTTAGGCCTGTTTGGGGGCCATTTTCTGGGCCGTTTTCAGGCCATTTTGGGGCTGGTTTTGGGCCATTTTTCAGCTGTTTTCTGGACTGTTTTTCAGACTGTTTCTGAGCCATTTTCAGGCTGTTTTGGGGGCTGTTTTCAGGTCATTTTTGGGCTGTTTCTGGGCCATTTTCAGGCCATTTTCCAGCCGTTTTCCAGCCGTTTTCCAGCTGTTTTCTGGGCTGTTTCTGGGTCATTTTCAGGCCATTTTTGGGCTGTTTTTAGGCTGTTTTCAGGTCGGTTTTGGGCCGTTTTCCAGCTGTTTTCTGGGCCATTTTTGGGCTGTTTCTGGGCCATTTTCAGGTCATTTTCAGGCTGTTTTTGGGCTGTTTTCAGGTCATTTTTGGGCCGTTTCTGGGCCATTTTCAGGCCATTTTCCAGCCGTTTTCCAGCCATTTTCCAGCTGTTTTCTGGGCAGTTTCTGGGTCATTTTCAGGCCATTTTTTGGGCTGTTTTCATGTCATTTTTGGGCCATTTTCCATATGTTTTCAGGTCATTTTCAGGCCATTTTCCAGCTGTTTTCTGGGCTGTTTTGGGGGCA